CAATGTGACAATATATATATGGAGAGAGAGAGAGAGAGAGAGAGAGAGAGAGAGAGAGAGAGAGAGAGAGAGAGAGAGAGAGAGAGAGAGAGAGAGAGAGGGAATTTGCTACACTTTCACATCTGGTGGAAAGTTACATTGCAGCAACCTCATCGTGTCTTTCTGTCCAAGCGCACGTAGAACTGGGCTGGGAAAGCAGCTATTTGGCAGCATTTGGATGGCTGGGCTTGGGGGGATTGATTGAGCCCGATTCTGAGAGAGGACTGGGACGCAATTGAGAACTGATAGCGAATTAGTCATCTGTTTTCGTTGTGCTTTGTGGGGGGCAAATGAGAGTTGACTTGTCTCTGTTTCGTATCAGGGGATGCAGACACATATCGAGGAAGCTGTGACCATCATGTGATTGGGCGATTGATGCGCAGGCAGACATGTGGCGGCAGGGCATGCCTCAGGACCAGCAAAGGCTATCGTGGGGGATGGGGATGCCTCAGGACATTTGGAGGCTGCCACACCCACCACGGCAACCTCAGCTGCAGCAGCAGTGGTCGGAAGATGGCTATCATTCATCTCTCCCACAATCCTCTCATCCACGTCCTCCTCCTGGTCACCCTCTCCCCCTAGAACCTTCCTCCTCTTCACACACATCATGGAATGCTACTTGGGCGACTGAGGAGGACGATCGGTGGCCTTCTGTTGGTGGACATGCCACCCAGAGGTCAGGTCACAACCCTGCAGCAGTCACCAATCCGTATTACCATCACCAGCAGCAGTCGGAGCATGCACAGTCCAGCCAGGGAAATCCTCTCTTCTCCCCGCCTGGTGGAGGAAGGAAGTACCCTTCCTTTTCATCCCCCACATACAGAAGCCCGCCAACCCTTCCCGATCAGGGGGGTTTAACAGCGGGGTTCAGAAGGGAGCCTTTTACTGCTTTCTCTACTCCCGATGGAGCTGGTGGGGGTTACAACACTCATCAAGAGCAACGTTCACAGAGTGGGTCCATGATGTCTCCGCCATCAGGATCAAGACCGGCAGGAAACCGCCTCCCCGTTGCCACAGCGACCGAGTTGTACCGTCCTGGCAAGCATTTTGTTAGGGAAGCAGGGGCAAGTGGAGGTGTTGGTGATCGTACTCGAGGGAGGGAGCCGTCTTCAACCCCCAGCGCAAAAGACAGTGAAGATTTGTCACCTTACGGTCAGCATCAGCATTCCCAGGGCTTCGCCAACCAGCAGCTGCAGCAGGGAAGGCAACAGGAGGAGGAAGGAGAGGAAGGGGAGGATGCGTCCCTGTTGCACATGCCGGACTTTTTTAGGGGCAGACGACATGACCTCCCACTGCCGACGGTAGGGAATCACCATGTCCGTTCTCCGCCAACACATGCCATGGTAGTTTCCCCACCGTCTGAATATGGTGGCCCTCGTCCTGAGCAGGACTATCGTCCGTCTGAAAAGACGTCATCCTTCATGCGGCCAGAGGTGCAGCAGCATGACAAATCCAGGAGCAAATCGGGGGGTGCACATCCTGTCTCTGTGGAAGTTGTTGACGATGTGGCGTCCCAGTTGAGGACCCGTATGTTGGCTGATAGAACCCGAGGCGTTTTGCTCACAAGGTTGGTCCAAGGTACTCTGGACAAATTAGGTCTGAGGTCGTTCGAAAGTGCTGGGATCCAGCCCATGTCTGTGCCAACATTCCAGGTTCAGGCTGAGTTGGAGCGGAGGGTCAATGCGGCGATACGGTCCTACATTCCCGGGAGGAATGTGATCACGATCTATGATGTGGCCAAGCACATTGTAGAACAGGAGGGTGTTTCTACATTCGAGGATCTAGGCTTGGGTGCGCCCATGGCGTATCCACTTATTGCCTCCCGTTGCGGTTATGCAGGGAAAGACGGTAAAGGCCTGATTCAGATAACTGAGGCAGATGTGGTTTCAGTGATGGCAGAGTACACACATTCGCAGGGGGGGGGCTCTTTGAGTCCAGAAGGCTTTATGGAGTTCCTTGCCAGGAAGCATGGCTTGAAGGACCCACAATCATTGGGTGTCCGAATTATGGATTTCAGGTGAGTGAGGTCGCAGTCAATGTGCTGTTGGGATTGCGTTCATCCCTAACGGTCGGCTGAATTGTCTTCTCCTCTGTTGTGATGCGTGGTCTGGAATGGGTTCCTGAGGCACTTGGTTTGTGGTTCACAATCATGTCAAAGGCCATACTCACACTGTAACTTTTCTGAATGCATCTGACTGGAATTACGGCGAGAGTCGGATGAATCTGACCGCAATCACGTCCAGAGCTTAGTACAAAAAGTCCTACTGTGAGTATGCCCTGAGGGACGGCAGAACCACCTCTGCATGTATATACTGTGATCTACCCCTGCGAGCTTACCGTCGGTAGACATGCAACTGGCCATTCTGGTGCAAGATGAATGTTTCCCTCTTCTGTTTTTTTTTAATTTTTGCTTGCATGAACCCCAAAAAATGAACCCCCGGGCCTGTCCAGCATGAAACGTCGCTCCTACTTGGGTGACAAGGATTTTGATTGATCGGAATATGCATTCGCTTTGGAACTGATATTTTTTTTTGCTCTGAAATATTCTTGTTTCTGTTTTTTCGTTCTTGGTTCCTCTGATGCCGTGTGATCTGATGTACATCCCTGATTCTTGTGCAGAATGTTTTGTCACTTGAAATCGGAATTTTAAAAGGCCAAGGTTGGGGTACTTGGAACTTAGCTCACTCGCCGGTAGCCCTCTCCGGGTCTGGCAGACCGAGCCTTTGTGAACAGTACCTCATAGACCAGTTTGTTCTTAAGAGGAAAGGGGCTGGGTGGTTTAAACATGTGCATGTGTGTGTTGCGTTTTGTGTGGTGTTTTGTGTGTGTGTGTGTGTGTGTGTGTGTGTGTGTGTGTGTGAGAGAGAGAGAGAGAGAGAGAGAGAGAGAGAGAGAGAGAGAGAGAGAGAGAGAGAGAGAGAGAGAGAGAGAGAGAGAGAGAGAGAGAGAGAGAGAGAGAGAGAGAGAGAGAGAGGAAGGGGCATGTTGAGGATGGAATGGTGAATGGGATAGATATTCATGTGGCTTAACTGTGGCTTATAGCCTCAAAGTCAATGGTGAGCATCATACATCCTGGCCTAAACCAGGTTACACGCAATGGAAGGAATGGAATTGAGGCGCTAGGATTGACAAGTCCTGTGTTGGTTCAGGGTCGTAGGGGTATAGCTTCATCTCGCTCTTGATTGGATACTGTAGTAACTGCGGGGGCTAGAGTGTGGGGGCGCTTGTAAACAACCCTTCTATGGCCTATGACCTGGCAAATCCAGGGCCTGGTCAACTCCTCGCAGACAGGATCCTGAAGAGAAAGAGTGAGGATTGATGAGTATCGAGTTGGCATGACCAACTGTATTGTCAATGGAAGTAGATCAACCATTTGAGAAGGTTTGGTGGTAGGATGTACGGGAACAGAGGTTGGGTTTGACTTTGAACGCTGTTTTACTGGGTTGACTTCCGCCAGATGATTGCTTCATGTTCTTTTGTCTTGCCCGCTTTGCCCTCCTTGAGTTTCGTGTTCATGTCCCTCCAGGCTATATGCTGTCCAACGAGGGGTCATAGGACTTGCATTGGTTGAGGGTAGAAGTGGGAAAAGTCCGTAGAAGAGGGGACCGCTGTTAAATAGACTGTGTAGGTACAGGAGGAGAAGGAGGGTGAGGGAGAGGAAGTACAGGGGCAGCGGGAGTCAGTCATTAAGTCTGATAGAGGGGAGTAGACGCGGGTAGGGGGTGCACCCACCCATGAAATTCCTTGGGGAAGCTGTTAAACCACCAGTACATGGGCACCTGGGCCGCGGGTTTGACACCTCAAATTCTGGAGGCGCGAAACGAAAACGGGGCCGCCGATCAAATTTATCAACGGTGGGCCCAGGGTTTGACGTTTCGGCCTCGTTTTCTTGTGGGGACAAGTTTCGGACTGCAAGGCCGGGGCCGTGTACTTGTGGTTTAAGCCCTTGTCCACCTCACTTGGTAGTGTGCCGAAGCAACCACTCTTCATTAGGGAAGATTCAAACCAGACGTTACCCCGGGTTGGTCTTGAGAATTTGAGGGAAGAGGGTAGGAAATTGAAGTTGGTCTTAAGAAGTTGAGAGAAGAGGGGGAGTAAGTTGCAGAATTGGATTCGGGCCACATATATCACCAGCTGGCCAAGATAGACAGAGCAGTGGGCACAAGTGGAGCAGCAGCCGGCAGCTCTGGAAAATAGGAAGCGGGAACTGACCACCGCAAAAATATAGGCAACTGCCCTTAGGATAGGACAATGCTAGACGAAGAAGAAGCCTTCGAGCAAGGAGTTGTTGCGAGGGCAGTATTGAAGGTGGTTGAAGAGCCGAATCATGTGCGTAAAGCAACTTGCAAGTTGCCTTGAAGTTGTTTGGTAGTCTCGGAGAATGCAAAACACCTTCTCTCCCTCCGACTGGAAGTCTAGCTTTACATAAGATTTCTTTCCAACTTGTGTTGATTCTCTATCTGCTAATGCACCTATGGAGCTCTTGTGCCATTCTACATCTAATAGGATCACTTGTTCTTTCTACTCTCTTTGTGCAACCCCGGTAACTACAAAGATTTGGCAGTTCTTCACCTCCGTCCTCAACAGAATCATCTTACTGTTCAACACCGTCTCAGGTATGGAACTAGCACCATAAGTGTGGAGAATTCCACATTGTCTGTCGGTCGGATTCAATAGTGTTGGAAAATGAAAAGCTACCAAGATCGAAGTGTTTGTAGCTTTAGTAAAAGAAAAGCCCGACAGCGTAGAAAAGGTAGAAGAAAAAGATAGAAGAAAATACAGATTCAGCAAATCATGTAGACCCTTGATCGAATTGCTGTTAGAGGAGCGCAAGGACATAGAGGAGCCACCCAGTGGAGTCGTGCAGAGAGGAATCAAGCATCACATGCCCGCATCACATTTCCGATCGGAAGATATACCTAAGCGCCTAATTTATAGGACGTCTCCCACAGATTGACTGATCTTTGCGAACAGGTGAACCAACTAGTAGAAAAGGGTTGGATAAAGCCTACCGCCTTTACCCGAATGGAACGCCCCTGATCATTATAGCTGTATTTGGTGCAATGTTCTGTCCAGATACAGCAATAATTACTGGGTGTTCTATTCGGGCGAAGGGGGCAGTTGGTGCCGTTGGTCCCCATACGGTGGCCCAGTTCTGTTCCTACCCAAGGAGGGGGAACTCACACTGTGTGTGAATTATGGTTGAATACTATCACGGTAAAGAATGTGGAACTGTGGCCTCATATAGCTGATTTATTGAATAGGTTACAGGGGTGTGAGCACTTTTCCATGATAGGCCTCATGTCAGGGTGCCATTAAATAGAGGTTGCGGATGACCAGCATAAGACTGCGTTTCTTACTGAGGGTTAAGCCCTTTTGACTGATAACGCACCTGCTACCTTTCAAAGGTTAATGAATGACTTGTTCCATGAATAGCTTGATATATTTATGGCTGGTTACTTACATGATATCCTTATGTTCAGTAAGACCCCGGAAGAGCACGATGATCATCTGTGATTGGTTTTGCATAAGCTTAGGCAGGGAAAGTGTTATGGTAAATCCCTAGAAGTAGGAATAGGCCAGTGGTAACATGCTATATCGTGATCATCTGATAGATGGAGATTGAGTGCAACCCGTGGCTAAGAAGATAGCTGCAATCGAGACTGATGGAAGCCGAAGTCCCCATTGAGCTTGATCTTTCTTAGGACTTGCTCACTGCATAGAGGAAATTCATACGGAAGTGTTTTTCCATAATAGCAGCATCGTTGCGAAGACTGTAAAAGGAGGCAATGTGGAAATGGGACAAAAACTGGGATTTGGTCTTCAAAGAGTTGAAGAAGGCACTGATGGAGCAGACCTGCCCCTATTGTTCATTGTCACTACAAACACTGGTTAGTACGGGATACGGGCTGCACTGCAGCAAAACTACGGATTTCACCCTGTAGAGTTTATGCCAAAGTGATTACTGTCCGAGAAAGTTGCAGCGTCTACATACAAAGAGAGCTCTGTGCACTTTACGAGGCCCTTAGACCGTGGAGACACTGCTTCCTCGGCAGACAATTCAAAGTCTACACTGATCACGAGACTCTGAGGTGGCTGAAGACAACCAAAGTTATCGGATAAGTCAGCTAGGTCGTTACAAGTCAGGGACACCTATGACGTTGAGTTCAAGCGTGTCAAGGGGATGTACAGTGTTGTGGTCGTTGCACTCTCGTGAACAGCAGACTTCTTTGGCGCTGTAGTGTCAGCATATGAAGGGAACGCTGTCGAGTGCGTCGGTCCTACACGGGGACCCTCCTGGCCGCATCATGCAGGATTGGCAGGAATTTTGGGACACAAACAAGAAGCAGCAATGCCACTCCGGCTGAGTGCGCCAGCTATACCTCCGTCGAGCCCCTAGGTACAACTTACCTCGACCCACGGGAGCTGTCACCATCCCTTAGGTGGGCATATCCCCGCCGAGCTACTGACCCACACGTGGAAGCTTTTATATGCAATCGTGGAGGTGGACTAGCCGAGGGCGTTTTTCGTACGCTGTAGCATGGTGGGTACGTGCGGTTAACGCCCAGATCAAACTCACGCGTGGACCGGCGTAGGGACTCTGATGCGCTCCTGCACAGGGACCCTCCCGCTCGACGATGCTGTTTTGACAAAGATCTGTCAGTGATGTAAAACATGGCTGGAAAAAGTACCCAACTCGCAGATGGCTTGCTATTCGTCGCGCTGCAAGAGTAGATAGGTCATGCATCCTTGGTAGTGAGCCTCTCTGCAGCATAGTGCTTGGAGAACGCCATGATGCCGGAGGTCACTTTGGCTGGAGGAAAACATTTGTGCACTTGCTTCAGGAACAAAAACAGACTGCATGTCATTCGGGACGTCTGTTTAAATTGGAACGATACAGAGGACTCCGAAGAATCTATGTCTAGACCTACAGTGAACATGTGATGCCTTTCTCCATGAATTTATCCATGGTATGGACTATATCTTTAGTCATGTGGTTTCTACTTTTTCCAGAAAGCCTGTGTTTGGCTATTTGGGCATGGTTTATGGTGCGCTGTGTAAGGCGTATTTCGTCGATATCGGACGTTGATCGAAGGCAGGCACGAAGTGGGGATCACTGGGAACAGCCCGGCCTTGGTTGAACCCCGACTGTCTTTGATACGCAGCTGAATGGAATACTTGTGAACGTGAGATGCTGGTGGGATAATTGCCCAGACGTGTTCGGCAAGGCCGATCCGCTACAAGATCACACAATGTCTTCCCTCGTACAGCGACGTCGAAAATCGTATGTGCCAGGACATCGAGGAAACCTTTATGTCTGCTCTTCGTGTCCAGCCTGTCTTGCTGCACTTCGTGCCGGGAGCTGTGATGCAAGCCCCCTGGTGCTTTATATGAGATGAGGCAGCTCGAAGAGCGGTCGTTTTTGGGGAAGCATACCCTGCAGCCCTTCGACCTTGTGCACTTGGGGAAGCACGCGAATGCATGCTGGCCTTTTGCCCTCTGCGTGCTGTTGGTCAAAACCAGCAAGGCCTTAGTCAGAGTGGTGAAGTACTACATGGGGGCAGATCACCTATCGTATTGGGGACAGACGACTAAACGCCATCTGGAAAAAAAAAGAGAAAACAGAAACTGACTGTATCGACTGTATTTGCACCTGCAGGGTGTGTCAGCGGAACAAAACAGTCACCAGTACCTCGCCCAGCTATAGAAAAA